GCAATCAAATTTCAATAACAGTGTTTAAGTGCATGGCATAATAGATTAGACAACATCAATTTTATGAAACAGAATATTCTTTAAATTAGTTATATACATGGAAGGTTACAGATTTCCTTTCTTTGGAAAATCTGACAGGTTTATATAAACCTGTCAAACCCGTCTGAATCCGCCCCTGCCCCCTGGTTTATTATCATACATCATAAAGCAAATAATAGCTGTTATCGTAATTGAATACGTCTATGTTACGAACCAGCGGTATCTGCATTATTTTAACATCTAGACGAGGCTATAGAGTCATGTTTTGTGTTTTTTGACCCTTTAGCCTCATTTTTGTGCGTACTTCCACTGAGATACCGCTGGTTCGCCGCAGTGGCGTATTCAATTACGATAACAGCTATTGTCAACTGGCTTTATATAGTCTGCGATATTAGTGAAAAAATCGTTTGTTTTTAATCCCTTTCAATGTATGTATTCAACACAAGCAGTGCCCAATCTCTGAATGGTTGATATATTTTGAATATTTATATATTAAAAATATGAGATGTATTTTAAAAATATAATTGAAAAATATCAATGATATATGTAAAATAGTTTTGTTTGTGAAAACACCACGTAACTTTATTCCTGCAAAGCTTTCGATCCGTAAGCCCGGATTTTCATCAGTGCTAAACATATTATTAGCACTGATGAAGATCCGGGCTTACGGATCGAAAGCTTTGCAGTAATAAATTTACGTGGTGTTTCCACAAACAAAACTATTATATTTTATCGCCATGCAAACATACAAAGAACTTGATACATGTAAAAATATATCTAATTTGCTTTCAAATCAACAGAATATAAATAGAAATAAGATATATGGTTGAATGCAGTCAAGTTCAATACTATAAAAAACTTGTATGGTTGTCAAAAGCCAAATGTCATAACAAGTAAATAATGTTAAATTGTTCTAAAAATATGGAAGGAAAAGTTCATAAGTTTCTCATGCTTCTAAAAATCAGTAGCCTTGATTCAAAGCTTTGTCGAATATGGATGATAAAGTAATCATTTCTATTTATATTGTTTTCCTTTGAAAGCCGCTTATTTCAGTTCAGCTCCTCCCCCTGATTTAATGAGTGTTTCCTAACAAGGATCCAGGTTCCTAATGAGGATCCTGACGAGGATCCTGAGCTGCTCTTGTGACAACGATCATGGGGTGGACGCTTTTGTCGAAAATAGAATTTTGAGTTTGGGATAAACAAAATTCTTTATGTGTTGCTGGAATTGCTCAAATGGTGAACCAAACCATGTTCTTTCATTCATACTATTAGGAGATGTATAAACTGACAATCTACTTACAAATATCTATGACATAACACTGGTATCTAGCGAAATACATAAACAAAACACAATAGCAGACCTGGTAAAAAATTGGATCTCGGGATCCTGAGGAACATTTGAGTAACAAAACTGAGGAACATTGTAAATTTTCCACATTTCAAAGGATCTAATCATGTGTCAGATCATAAAAAATAAACAAACTTAAATCCCTTTAACAACATGAACAATATTAATCTTTCCTCGTGAATTTTCTGTCGGATACTGGCAATACAATTGAGCTTGAACAGTTTTATATTCTGAGGATTCTATTACAAAATAGTACAGTAGTACACTGAATATAGTACAGCATTTAACCATCATTATCAAGTTGTATTAATATCCATGCAAAGTGGAACAATATTTTTCTTCAGTATTTAAGCTGAGGGCATTCAGTATTTGTTAGGCAACTTAGCCAAAATATGAATTTCTGAAGATATTCTGTCCGAATTTTCATCCACGATTATCAATGCGACAGTGCAGTACTTCTATATTTTGCTGACAGTGTTATGCCACAGGAACATATCTACTGGTGGTATGCCCTATTAAACTGTTAAAGAAACCATTGGTTCCATTCTTCAGTTGAATGAACAAAGCTGTCAAACAATAATCAGTGAAGGTGCTATATAATTATAAAAAGTACAGTACTGTTTTATATAAACGGTTATTATACAGGTAGTCAATTTATGCAACATAAAATACCCCATAGTTTCTGCACACTTTGAGGAACATCTGAAATGGGCAAACTTACGATCCGAGGAACATTGGATATTTTTTCAAGTCTGCACAACAGAGCGCCTATTGATTGACCTCTCTAAAAACATGTCCTTTTAATTAAAGGGGTGCGAGAAACCTGGAAGTCTATCAGCTGGAAAATGTGGCTGCCACACCAAGTAATAACTAATATTTAATGGTATACTATTAAAGGTGAATGTATATAAATTACATGCATATCTTCTCTTTCATGTCGCATTTTTTAAGGCACTGACAATTTCACCAGCATTTCGTTTTGTCATATCAAAAATATCCTTGGAATAAGAATTTAGCTATGTTTTAAGTCTACTGTTCTCCCATTCCATTTAAAATGGGTTGCCCAATGTTTGTGTAAACATTAGATACTTCATATTATCTATTATAAACAATTAATGAATTAGAGAATTATACAGTATATTTCTCTTGATAGAAAATTTGCGAAACTCCAATCCAAGCTCCAACCCAAGCTCACGTTCCAATCCAAGCTTCAGTTCAACATCCAATTTAAAGTCCGGGTGTGCCTCGGGATAAGAAAAAGTCGATAAAGTTGTCAAAGTCAAGTCTCTTTCATAGTACTAAAAGTTAAAAGGAAGCGAGTGGAAAAAAAGTAAAAGGTAAAGAAAAGGACAAAGCAGTAATTATCTTCATTGGGCTACTCCAGTGGTGACAACTGGAACGAAAACTGAAGCCGGCTAGAGGTAAAAGGATTGCTTTTAGAGTATCAAACGAAGCACCGTATGATGAATTATGTACCCAGGCGTTGTTGAAGCGGAAAACATATCAAAGCAACATTTATGATGAAGAAAAGGAATATTCATTGGTTTTTGAGGATGGTAACAAGGCTTTATTCCTGCCTGGTACGAAAGAATTCTTCACTCTCAAGCGATACAAAAAGGAAACGGGAAAAGACTACAAATGGATTGTTTTTACTTATGCACCAAGTCTGATATAAGCAGGAGTGAGGATTTCGAAGACGACGACAAGGATGAAGACGGAGATGACAACGGAGATGACAATGCAGATGACAATGCAGATGACGACTCAAATGACAGATGCGCCGAGCATTCAGGGAAAAAAGAGCAAGATCCCAAATACTGAACGATGAAACAGTTGCTATGGAGTTACAGTCACAGTTCAATAACGAGACTGATAACAATGTAAACACTTTCAGTGATGATCTTCCGCTTCCTATGCAAAGCGAGAACATTGTTGGAGGACAACTAGATGAAACAGATTGCTTAAATGAAGTCCAAAATGATCCTGCAAGCACAAGTGTAGAAGCTTGGATATACGAGAGTACTGCAGAGATAGTTGAAAGACTGGAAGCGCAGGTTGATAATTTGAGTCAGTTTTATATTGTCATCAGGAGAGAAGTACATTACAAAGGAAACTGATGATTTGGAAGTGTCGATCAGCAAAGAAAGAAAGTCCCAAACAGAAAGTCATGGTTAGCCTTGCTGGTGAGATGGGGATTTGATAGCGGAGCTTTGGCAAAAGAAGTTTTCATGTCAACAATATATGATATAGGAAAGACCATCTTTCCAAATGGCAGCCCTGTGAGTTCAATGCTAAATGTGCACAACGGCGTTTTCTATACATGTGGGCAGAATGTTGCTGCAAGTCTTGCCCCGAAAAGACCCCATAGCCATAACGGATAGAATCTTGGAACATGGGTATACGGGCGCAATCGACATACTTCATGTTGAAGACATCGTAGGTACAGTGATGATTAGCATTGTAAGCAAGCGTTTACTGTATTTAAACGAGTTTCAAAATGGTCTTAACCTTTATGATCTCCCTGCATTCTTGAAATCCAGTGCTAATTTATGCAAGGATCTATTTGTGATTGGAAGAAACAAAGTTGTGGATGCAAGTTTTATTGTCTCTTGTATGATGCCATGTTATTCAGATACAGGAAGTTCTCGTCGAGTTGTTGAAGAAATGATGGTCGACAACTTTCAGGATCTACTAATATGTCTTGAAGATGAACACATAACTGGCTATACAGAAGCTTTAGCTTGGAATGATAGTGCCAACAGCATTTGGCAACCACGACACAGCTGAAAGAGAATTGTTACAAGCACCAAACATAACACCTGCAGGTGTTTTTGGATGGATTACTGGCTAAAAACATGTGCCGTTGAATGGAGAGAAGATGCAAATGATAATAAACTTTGATCACGATTGCATGGTTCGAAACGAGAACCACAAGATCTGCTTCCCAATTGTGGGAGCATGTGGAAGAACAATTACCCTCCCAGTTGCACACATGGGAGAGAGTGAACATTTTAAACATGTTTTCATGCTAGGATACTGCAAAGGACAAGCAGCTGCTAACAGATAAACTGTATCTAAATTAACCAGGGAATAGTTATAGGATCAGTAACAATTAAGACTTATTAGCGATTTTGACTACTGGTTACCGCCCTTACTGATTTTAACCTTCAAAAAACTGATCGTTGGATCAAGAGAGCACGCCAGAAATATTTGTGTAAATTTATACTAACCTTTTAATTACATGTAAATGTTTTCAATTTTCATTGGGCACCATTTTGAATGTTGAAAGCGGTATATATTATTAGCTTATCGCAGGCGCAATAATTTATGTTCATCTTTGACATTAATTTATGTTACACGATGATACTCCGAAGGGCGACCGAGAAAGATCCGAAATTTAAAATAAGAAATAATAAAAAAGAGGGGAGTGAAATGGCCGAACATATGATGGGGTATTGGCCAATGACAATGCGTATATCCAATTTCGTTATCTGGCCATGCTTGTTGACCAAGAACTGTCGAATCTGAAATATATCAAAACTTGAATTGATTTGCATCGTTGCTTGCCAGCAGTGAATTTTCGACAGCAGAGAAACAAATATGTTTGCGAATGCTGGACACAAAATACAGTATTGATAATTCATGAAGGAAATGTTTAATCAATGTATGTAAATCGATCGGATAAAAGATTTGTAAATTGTCCTCATTTACATAAACTTTAACTTCGATTTTCTCGGCTTAGACGATGTTTATTTTTAAAATTACTTCACCAATAAACTCATATGATGGGTCGTCTTTTAATACATATATACATATATACAAACATCTCGCCATTGTCCCCAATTTTAATAATATATTTTAATGTGACTCGCTTGAACTAATTATAGTAGACATAGTAGGTCAAATATAAAACAACGGTAAATCCGAAAATAATAATAAAAAAGAATTTTTGGAGTTACCGTTGTTCTATATTATATTAAAATACTCAGTGGTTCCACTGAGCTCCCATAATAGTAGGTCTCATTTTGTTTCCGGTTTGTTCCTAGCAACATCAAATGTTCCTAGCAACAGTCAACCAGCATCAGTGGATAATATTTCGGCTGTTTCACTCCCCTCTTTATTTTTTATTATTTCTCCGCCTTATTTTAAATTTCGGATCTTTCTCGGTCTCCCTTCGGAGTATCATCGTGTAACATAAATTAATGTCAAATATGAACATAAATTATTGCGCCTGCGATAAGCTAATAATATATACCGCTTTCAACATTCAAAATGGCGCCCGATGAAAATTGAAAATGTTGACATGTAATTAAAAGGTTAGTATAAATTTACACAAATGTTTCTGGCATGCTCCCTTGTTTGGATTTGATATTTCTTTACTGCATATTACAGATGCAAAGAATAGTACAATTTTTGGAAATGTCGAAATTACCTGAAAGATTATATACAGCTTTATTTTGGGACCCATTCAAATCACTAATCCAGTAATTGGTAAGCGTGAACAATAAACTTTTGTCTCCTTGCTTTCCAGATCTGGCAATACATAATTTCTTTCTTTTGGGCCATTTCGTATTGTGACATAAAATTGTGCAAATTAATCATTCAATCAATAAATTTAAGACAGTCCTTCAAAGTTCACAATGCTGCTATTAGTACAGCATGCCAGAATGGGTCTTATGCAGGTTTCCGTCCAATTTCCTCGAATTTCAGTTACAATATTGGAAATTTTATATGTTGTTTATATCATTATTACAAGTGTTCACCAAAAATTTTGAATCAATAGGATTAGTTCCTCCTGAGTTACAAATTCTTGAAAAATAAAAGTGATGATGTTGTCATTATTTTCAAACGCCTTAGTTAAACATTCTTGGTTAATAAGGTTAAGACGGGACTTAATAATGTATCTGATATAAACAAGAATTTAAACATTTTGGCTCAAACTCTGCCTTTATTTTAGCATTTGATTTTTGGATAAGCGCTTGGTGGTATAAAATTGGCCATTTTATACCACCAAGCATTAGACAAGGAAGTACGTACCATAAACAAGGAAGTACGACACCGTGTTAATCGTTCTGTTGCATTAATTTCGGTAACTTTTGACACTTTCAAAACATTTGGATTGTTCATACCTTAATGTAACGAACGTTATCATATTATAATATTGCAGTTGTTGCTCGTTATGTTACGATTTTTGAGTACCAGGTAATCTGATGAAGTGTGACATTGTTTGCATGTTTCATACTAAAGTTTATGGTTGATATGAAAACTAGTTAATTTTATGTTTATGGTATCTTTTTGTGTTAAAATGTGTTCATATGATATGATATGTTAGTTGAGTTGATATTAAACTTTTACCACGTTATAAATTTTTAATTTAATTGGATTGACAGTTAAATGAGGTAAAATGGGATTTAGTTGAATATTATTTAATATATGTGCAGATTCAGAGAAAAGACAAATGAAGAAAAGCCAATGGACCAAACCAATACATTTTTATTACTGTATTAGATTAGATACGACGGTTCTATGTTATCTAATACAGTAATAAAACTGGGAAGATTAGATAGCCTATGTCTATGAGCAATTGTTTGAAACTGATGTTGTTCAATGGATCCCGTTATATGCACATTGCTTGAGAACAGTGTAAAGTTCAAGAGCCTCTCTCCAATTGGTTTGTTATGATTACAAGCTTGCAAAGCATAATTGAAATAATCTTGATGAACGTTGTCATCCTGCAAATCGATAACATGTGCACAAGCATAATGAATTTCACCCTGGGGAATTGGCATAATAAAATGGTTGCAGTCACATGACAGTGGGGCATGTAATACAATGAAGCAGGCTGGCCACTTATGTTATCATGACGTGACTTACGTATGTAATGCATATTCCAGTGTTCTTTTATTTCGTTCAAGACCTTCTGGATTAATTCTGCAAAACAAAACCATAGGCATTCCATGTCCAACTCTGAGGCAAGATCAATGGTTCTTTGTGCTACCAAGTCTTTAAAGAAGTTTATCCACCATGTCGTGCAAGACTTTTGCAAGAGACCCCACCATGCCTCAATATGTTGATTACGGGGCGATGGTACGTATCGATTGCTGTTGGGAGCGTCTCTGAAGAAAGCTTGAATAGCTGCCATTGTTCCATTTCCAGTGCCCAGATCAACAGGGCACCCACCAAACTCTTCAACAGCATCAAGATAAAATTTTGCAATATTACCTGGTTGGTTGTTTGATCTGGTAACATATAACCACAATACCTCCCTGCTCCATCTGTCAACACAGCCATGGATTGGAAATCCGTAGGGTTTTAATTTGTCATAGCCATCGCAGTGCCACATGTAGTTTGGCCTGGGATTGTGGTATACCCTCCTTTTAAGGATATGAGATTTTCTCATTTCAGTTCCTTCTGGATCAATTTCTTTAAGAATTTCTTGTACAACAATACGAGGAACATGTAACCCTTTTAGCTGCAAGGTGTGCCATACTGCCCTGTAACCTTGACTACTGCCATAACCATCAACAATATCGTCTATAGCTGCTCTTATTTCATTAACATCGTAGTCTGGCTCTCGCCTTCGGAGACCATAGGCTTTTATACACTGTTTCAGCGTTGTAATGCTTATTTCAACACCATGATTTTTCTGCAAGAACATTTGAATTTCTTCATATGTAAAGCCTTTAAAAAATAGTATCGAACAATATCTTCTTCGTCAACTTGATCATCATCTTTGCCTAAATCTGGAAAATTGTCTGCCATGTTTGTTCGATTGTTTTAAATCAGTTTCCAGTTCTCTCATGTGGAAAATGTGCTCTTGTGTCGTGAGTTTTTCTTTGGTGCTGTGAATTTTTGCTTTCGTGCCGTGACTTTTGTTTGCATTGTGATCTTTTTGTTTGTGTGTGACACTTGTGGGCCACCGTAGTTTTGTGGTAATGATACATGAATAGAACAGTTAAATAATCATTGATTTTGGGAAGAGTTAGAATTTTCAAATCTTGAAAAATTGGATCAGTGTGATCAAAATTTGATTTAAATGACATTAAACGCACAATTTTTTTGGATGCTTAGTAACTTCTGAATTCGCTTTGTGTAAGTATTTCCCCAGATATGGATAGACTAAAGCATAACACTAGTTTTAAAGTATTCAAATTTGCATAATGTCGAACTCGGGCTATAATTCTAGCAGTTTTTGTAATCTTTTTTGAGACAGAATCTATGTGATTTTTCCATGTTAAGTGTTCATCAATGTTAACCCCAAGAAATGATATACTTTTAACTTGATCAATAGGTTTGTTGTTTATAGATATAGTTACACCATGATTAAGTCTCTTCTTAGGGGATTTAAATTAAATAAATTTAGTTTTCTTAATATTTATTGATAATTTATTGACAATTAACCAGTCAGCTATTTTGTTTATTTCAATTTGCATGATATCATTTAGTGTTTTAAGGCAGGTGTGACTATGGTATATGTTTGTATCATCAGCAAATTTCCAATGTCATTTATCCCCGAGCCGACGGCGCGAAGCGCCGTGCGAGGGTACTAATTCCCCCCCGGCTATTTACACCCGGGGAAACGAAAGCATTAGCGGAGTCTAAAGTTCATCAAGTATCGCGGGCGTGGGTGACCAACGGTGTTGAGTGGGTGGTCATCCTCACTGATCTCAAAAATATGGCGGACTGTCATGAATAGCGGACACTGATTGGTCCAATTTAAAGTTTGCATCATAACGACTGTATGACGACAGCGAAATAGCAAACAGTTCTTGATTTGATCACAGATTTGATGATTCATAAATTTCTTGCAAATATACTTCAATTTTACTCGCATTTTTGCAAGATTTTGTAAATTTCAAGATAGAAACGGCGAAAGAATCGGCTAAAAGAAGTGAGCTGAAGTTAACGAAGGTAAGTTTGTGTTAAATATTGATTTTATAATTGCTTTAAAACCCGATGGCCTTTGGCCCTTTGCGTATATGAAATAACTAAACAAGACAGCATATAATTTCAGTCAATTCAGTGTATTATTAATATTGAATTTTTTTACTAAAAAGAAAGCAAGTTATTTGCATGCGAGAATTTGAAATCATTTTGTAGCAAACTCAAAGTTTATCGATAAAGCCATTTAATTAAAGCCAGGCAATTTAGTTTTATAAAGAACGTTTTAAAACGTTTTGCGAAGCTTTTGTGGTTGAATTTTACCTTAAATTGAAGCTTATATTACGTATAATAACATACCTAACAAATATATGTTGGGAAATTGATAATTTTGTAATTAAAATTGATATTAAATTATAAAAAATTATCGTGTTATTACCATGACAACAACTTTGGATACTTCATGTTTGAAATATACAATGGTTTTGTCAGCAAGGCGAGGGTTTCTGCATGCATGTATTTTCTAGTATATAATAGAAACAGCAGTGGACCTAGGATAGATCCTTGAGGAACACCACTTGTAAATTGAACGGGTTTGGTTGTACTTTACAATTTGTTTTCTATTCCCTAAGTAATTTTCAAACAATTTACGTGCTATTCCTCGCATTCCATAGCATTCAAGTTTTTAAATCAGAATCTTGTGATTAATCGTGTCAAATGCTTTCGATAAGTCTAGAAAGATACCAATTGTGTACTTGCCATGGTCAATAGCTTTTGTAATCTTATTGATAACTTCAATAGGGCCATTCCATTTAATATCCACACCCCCCTGTGGATGAAGTCTTTAAATTTTAGTAGCCCTCTGAAATTTGCAGATTTTATCAAAACCCCGATGAATATTGTCCATACTTTAGGACCTTCAGAAATATTTATGTGGTGTTTAAACATCGCTCGGAAATACCCTGTGGACGAGGTCACTGTAAGAGTCACCCTTAGGAATTTTTTATTTCTTGTAACGCCCCTCAGAAATTTTCCAATTTTCTAGAATACCCTTTGGAAATTTCAATTTTGTTTTCATACAACCTCGGAAATATTCTGTGGATGACTGACCCTTCAGAATTTTTTTTAAATATATGATTTTAAGTGACTCGACTGGATTCGAATACAAAAAATGAATTGACTCGACTGGAGTCAACTAACCCAAAACACTTGACTCGTACTGGACTTTTTGATTTCTACCTTAAATGACTCTAGTCAATATAGCTATAACTTGCTCAAGATAAATGATTTATTGCAGTGCAGATATCTTACATGGTTTTAACTGATATTGAGTAGAACTTTAATATTGGTAGCTGCTAGATATTGTTATTAATACTGATAGATATTAATAATAGCATATAGCTGCCTAAAGATATTATTAATTAGGGACCAGTCATTATTAATGCCGAGTAGGGGGCCGGAGGAAATTTTTATAAATAGCTAAAAAGTTTTCATGACCCCTTATTTTTCTACCAAAATTGTTTTATGCCCCCCCCTTATTGAGACAACATATTTCATAACCCCCCTCCATTCTGAATTCAATGACTCACAGTTTCGCAACCATTTTTCCTGCCCTCATATTTGTTTACTTGCAGCTGTAAAGAATATTGTATAAAAAGTGTTAGAATTAAAAGATAATTATTTAACCTGGGAATCACTGTCTATACCTAGAGCATCTACTTCTGCCCTTGTCCTTGTTGCTCCAAGAATAACTCCTAATATTTTCTTATCCCATTCTGTATCAAGGGCTTGATACAATGCTTGGACAGTTTCCTTATCCAAAACAAATCGGCTGGCTGGCGCCAATATCAATACCACTTTCATATAGATGCAAGTAAAAATCTTCCAGATCAACGTCATCGGATCTTAGAATTACAAACAGATTTCCTTTTAATCTATTTTTGAAAGAAAATAATTTTCTACAATACTGGTCAAGCTTCGATAGGGAGGGCTACGATGACATGAAACAGTTGCTAGAGATGACACCAGATGAATTAGAACAGGTACTAGCACAAGATATCGGAATCAAGAAAATAGGGCACCTCAAGAGCGATTGAAGGCTGCTATCCATTCTACAAGAGGCAATTCGAACGAAAAAGAATACGAGGATAAAGATACAAAGAAAAGCTCAAACAAAACTCAGAAATGTAGGTACCCTAGTGTTTGATTTTATTATGGTACAACATGTGAAGATATGACCCAGTCCACAATAGCCGTTTTCTCTTTTAATTTTTGCAGATCTGGTGATTTAATAACAAATCAATATTTTGTATATCTGTTTGTTGTGTAGTGTCAGCCTCAATTGCATCAAGGTTATTGATACCAAATCCTATCACAGAGAAACACAAGTTTTACAATGAACTACTCTATGAACTGTTCAATGATTCTTATGAGTTGATGACACATGATGCTTTCATATTGTATGTTACTGGTCAGAGACAGTCACGATGGAAAATCAAACAAAGCTTGGATAGTATGAGGTTATACGAGATAAAGTTGGCTGAATCTAAAGATAGACATTGGCAAAATATTAGGAAATATGTTGGTGACCAAGTAATGCTGACTTCAAAAGACATGAAACCAGCAGAAAGATGTGTAGAATTTATGGCAGGAATTATACAAGAGGTAGACTCATTCATTGTTGAGTGCAAAACACTGCGATCAAACTTATTTGATAAGGAAAACACTGTGAAGCCATTGAAAGCCAACGAGTTGCTCTTTTTGGAGAACATAATCAAAGATTTATCAGCAATCGACGCAAAGATGGTGAAGGCAAACGGTGACATTTTTCAGAATGTTTGCTATTTAAGAAGAATTGTGTTGGAAAGTGAAGCCATCCAACACGATAACAGTCGCTCTAACAGAAGAATGAAAGAAAATAAGCGCAAATCATCAAATAGAAAAGAACAATGAAAATTGAGAAGCTGTTGTAAGGTTCTTCAAGAAATAATTGGATTGACAGATGATGCTCAGGAAATGATAGCCAAGGTGGACAAGGGTGATTTTACTTTTACCATCGACAATTCGGACATTGTACCTGAAAAGCTGTTGGCCCTAAAACCAAAAACCCACAAATCAGGCCTACTTTTTTTAATTGAAAAAAATGTATTTGTGTCTGGAAGCAAAGAGATGGCAGAAGAGGCTGTTAACAACATGGACATGCCAAAGAGGTCCAGTGTTTTAAAAAAGTGCAAAACTGGACAGCAAATGTCCATCGAATCTGTATTTGCGAATGCAGTATGTGACCCTCCAGACAATGCATCAAATTCTAGTGACGATGATGATGAGCATTTCCCATGTACAGTAGAAGTAGAACACAACTTTTAGAAGTAGAACACAATATATCTGGAATTAATTTTCATTGTATGTATGTATGTACGTATATCCATAATTTACTCTTTTGATGTTACATGTTGCAAACTATTCCATAGATATTTTTGCCCCCCCCCCCTTCATGTTCAAATTTTTTTCTGACCCCCCCTTCACTGCTCAAAAATTTTTGGTGGCCCCTCAAAATTTCCTCCGGCCTCCTACCCAGGATTTAAAAATGACTGGTCCCATAACTAAAATGGAATTTGATTGATTATCCAGGGCGCCTATCCATTGCGGAAATTGCCACCCCTTTTAGAAAGTGGGAAACAAGGGAACAAGGGATTTATTTTTAGTGTATGAAATCAGTAAAATTAAATTGACACAGACTATGTTGCACCTGATCTTAAACAACAGGACCATTCCGTTGCTATTTGTTAACATTTAGAAGAAAAACGATTGTCATAAATGCAACTATCAGGGCCGTTGTGAAGGGGATAAAGAAGGGGGGGGGGGGTGTAATAATTTGTCAACAACATTTCCTTCGATAATTAATATTTTCCCCCAAAATTAGGGAGGTTAAGATACCCCGGTTTTGGTGTATGTGTACGGGTAGCATGATTTTGGTTAGCAATATTTTCGTCAGTGTCTGCACCTTCACTCGTAATTAAGGTCCACATTTTTCGCATTATATCATTGCCTACTGCAAGAAAGCAGAAAAAGTATGATGGAATTACAGACATCAGTAAAACAAAATGAAATACACTGAAACCGGGGTATCTTAACCTCTCTATTGTTGGCGAGCAGGGGGCCAAAATTGTTGGTGAACGAGGGGGATTGCAAAATTTTTTTCCGGACGTAAAAAATCTTCCGGACATACCAAAAATTTTCCGGACATATCAAAATTTGTTAACTTTTTGCGTCATTTTAGTGAATTTAGCTAAATTTTTGCTAATACTTTTACTTTTTCATTTGAACCACATGGAAACGATTTGCCGATAAAATCGTTATTTTGCCGAAAAGATGTTTTTAGGGGGTGTCACACTCCCCCTACAGCTACAACCCTGGCAACTATGAATTGTCACTGTGTGCGAGGAAGTCATGCACGCTCGCCCTTGTATGTAATCGTTTAATCATACCATTCATTCTTCATGCAAACCTTGTTGAAGACAGTATAAGTACACAGCGTTAACAAGTCAAAATAACTTCTGCTTCAGGTGCAGTTTGCTAGATATTAAGTTAGGAAGAATGGCAATTGTGTATGTCCACTCTGGATTTTTCAAAAATACAATATCAACTTCATCATCGTCTTTGTCAAATGACTTTACTTCTGCATCATGCCAACCTATACAAAACAATAATTTTGTACAAAACAAGATTAATTAATTGTGGTGTTTTGTCAAATAATAAATGTATTGCTTACTCTTGTACTGAATGCTGCCACACTTAATCCTAATGGAAAACATCAGCCTTGTACAACTAACCTATAATCCAGATAAATGAAAAATGTCCTTTCAGTTTAACTCAGGTGGCAACCAGGTGAGTGTTTTCTAGCTTTTAATTTTGAAAATTGAGCAACATCCCATAGAACAGCTAGCAGGGGCAGATCCAGTTCCTAAGCTGACTGATGCCCAAGACCTCGCATTTGTAGGGGGGTCCGGAGGTATCCTCCCCCTGGAAATTTTGAAATCTAGGACTTCGGAAATGTGATTTCCTGCGTTCTGAGCTAACTCTTTTGTTCCAATTCATACATCAGATTCACAAAATTATTTGCTGCATTTTTGGAAAGCACGTAAAAAACTTGAACCAATATTGCAAAAACAACATAATTTCTCTATATAAGAAAAAAATATTTGCTTGTACAAGTATTATATCAGCAGTGGTAAGTCTCTATTCAAAAATAGTCAGTACTATGCTTCTTGTAGCCTTAACGTTTCTATTGAAAAACATTTCGGCAAAAAATCATGACAACGCAAATACACATACGTGGGACAAAGATGCATACAGTGTGATCCACAAGTTGCATTGTTGGACTCTGAAGGCAGTGCTAGTTGCATTGCTGGACTCTGAAGGCAGTGTTATTATGTTGTTTTTTAACCACCTTCCCTTATTAATTTCCACTAATTTCCAATGTTTCATGAGTAAAATCTTCTAGCATTAGAATGGTGCATAAACTTTAAGGTATTTTGTGCTCTAGTGGGTAAACTTATTTATATACAACTCTGTCTTATGCTGCTAATCTTACTCTGTATGGACAGTGTGGTTGGCATCAGTTGGTCAATTTCATTTGCCTTTGACATGAACTGCATGGTGAATAGCCCACACTCTGAATACTGAGAATATTGCCCTGTGACCAGGAAACCAGTAAACTAACACACAACAAGCACTGGGTTTAAAATTCTATAAGTATAACTACAATCTTTGCCAAAAACTATGAGACAAATAGTGAAAGTTCATATAACTTCTTCTGTCCATTTCCCCCCGCGCCCCCCGTTCAATGTTGATGTCACAAAAAATGGATACATCGCAAACGAGACGTCATCTGGCATCAACGCAACATTGAAAAGGGTGGGGGGAGGGAGGGATGAATATTCACGTGGAAAAGTTGTACAATGTCTATATAACGTTTTTGAAACTACATTGTCCCATAGTATATTGTCAAAGATTGTCTATGATATAGAGACTTGTTTATGTATTTTAATGATTAATTCAACATTTAATCGTTATTCCACTGTGTCTTGTAATTTTTTTCTATAGAGTAATAATGCATTTTAATTTTTAATGCTTTCCAGAAAGGTTGATTTGTTCAAAGAGTATTTCGCAAAGGGGGGGGGGGGTTGTATATATTACTTTTCCACTTATGTATACAGTCTGTATAACTACGCTACGACATCTAAAATAAAACCAATTTCATACATCTTAATAAGCTTTAAAAATGGAAGAATAAAATTGTATGCATGCTGAAATATTTTCTGAATTATGTTCCAGATCATAATTTTGAGTGGGAGTATAAGGTTTAGCCTGCATACTACCTAATAGGTATTTTGGAGTTTCCGCTAAACACGAAGGTGTATCATATTCAAGTATGTCTTCGTCTCGAACGCAAGCTGTTCAATCCAAGCCTCCAAAACAAAGATCGATTTATCTCATAACCTATAGTCAATGCGGTAATTCAGGTCTAAGTAGACAAGCATTTGCCCAGATAATACTCGATGCGTGGAATGACTCCTGTCTCTCAAGAATAATCCAGTGGGTAGTCAGTGAAGAAATGCATCAGGATGGTGGCAAGCATTTCCATATGGCATTGAAACTGGACAAGAAAACAAGGTGGCTGGCCGTCCGGAATTTTCTTGACATGCGTCATGGAATCAAAGTGAACTTCTCAGATAAACACGATAATTACTTCAGCGCGTATAAATATGTAGTAAAAGATGACGCAGATTATGTCCTGTCTGATAATCACCCTGATCTCACAAATGCCACTGCACCGCGAACAACCAATGCGTCCCAAAAACGTAAGGGGACCGCTAAGAAGGCCGGAGCTGCTACTAAGAAAAAAAAGAAACGCATGGCAGTTTACGACGTCGTCCGGATAATCCAAACGAAAGGAATCAAGTCGCGGCTGGAACTAATGGCACTGGCAAGCAAGTGGCAAGAACAGGGCAAGACGGATTTGGCAGAATTTGTGTCCAATCGAGGTCCGAGAGTTGTAAACGAAGCTCTAGAGACAGCACACGAACTAACCATGGCAGAAAAACGATTGGAGAGAATAAACAAAACTAGAATACAATTGCTTCAAGAGCATTTGACACAACCGTGCCGAGACAATTGCGAGGGAATATGGCTACGTTCGGCAGCCGAGATATTGGAGGGGAACGGCATACCTGTTTCGATATTCGCTGGTGCTGTCTATGATGCCCTGCTGCGAGGAAGAGGCAAATATAGAAATATCTATATTTATGGCCCTGCTAACTGTGGAAAAACCTTTTTAATTTCGCCTTTGAAAACCATCTATGAGTGCTTTGTTAATCCTGCCTCAGGGAGTTTTGCGTGGGTTGGCGTAGACCAAGCGGAGGTGGTTTTACTTAATGATCTGAGATGGAAACCTACCCTTATACCATGGTGTGAGTTTTTGCAGGTTTTAGAGGGTGATATCGTGCATTTTCCAGCCCCTAAAAATTTTGTGAGAAAGGATATTGTGTTGGACAAGGACACGCCATTTTTTGCGACTAGTGACGCCCCTCTTGCCTTAGTTAATGGGGGAAGTGTCGATCGAGTCAACACTGAAATGATGGAGGTCCGATGGCGTATGTTCAAATTACATCGCCAAATACCAAAAGAAGAGCAAAAACAGATGAAACCTTGTAGTTCTTGCTTTGCCAAACTTATTTTACAAAATGCTGAGTGTTAGCAAACAATAATATATTAACAGGATAAGACAATTAGCAGTGATTATATACTTGTCTGTCAACAAACCATTTACTGAACGAAGCTCACCAACGAATCTCAGTCTAAAATACGGTTTTGTCGCAGTTTTTAAAGAAATATAGTTTACATTTGTTCATTTTCTAACACTATGTATGTGTTAACAATATTCTATAGTCAAAAATGTTAAAAAAAATTAAAATTTTACATATAACTAACGAAGCTCACCCAAACATTGTAAATGAACTTGATATGTCTCTGCCCTTTCTAAGGCGCAAGCGAGAATCGTTGGACAAAAATCATCTCTCACTTGTTTGTATCGTTCTCAATAGTTGTAAAATGAAGCATGCTGATATTATAGGCTTGATATCAATGATCCATAATGACTTTGCTAAATAAAAGTTTCTGGTAAGTCAGTTACAGCGTATATAAGATGCAATATAAGGTCTAGATTTAAGTGAGCTTCGTTGCCTAGTGAGCTCAGTGTCACGTGCCTAGCGAACAAACGTGCTAATATTTGGTTCTATAGCCCTTTCCGGCCATTACTGCGTCGATGCGTCTAGGCATACTCGTTATTAAGTTATTTATAAAATCTAAAGAAGTATCTAGCAGTGTTTTAGAAACTCTCTCCTTGAACTCCATCCATGTTTCATGATTGATTCCCTGCGCTCGAACCTGCATCTGTAGATTGCTTTTGACTATATGGAAAACATTTTCAATTGGATTGAGGTCGGGTGAACGAGCAGGTATACAGAAAAGCTGCGCAGCTTGATCCTTGATAGCTTTCAATGCCATGGTACTTGTTTGCGAAGGGTCGTTATCCATGATAAACATCTTTCTGCATTCTCGTCCATGAAATAGGACCGGGAAATTTCTGTTTACAAAATCACTGAAATATGCGCCATTCATCTTCGTATATTCCTCAACGAAAAACACTCCCCTGTTGTATGCAATTGCGACAAGTAAATGCAAGCGCTTTCCCCCTGCCAGATTTTTGGATCCTTTAGCCGTAATCTTTAAACCTTCGGCTCTTTTTCGCCACACTTTACCCTTTGGTGCTACGGCTTGCGCCATTGGTCTTGGCTTGTACACGAATGAAACACCGTCGAGATAAAAGGCAATAACCTCGTGGAAATACGTAGGCTCATTTTGTAGTATTTTCTTACATTCTCGTGCAAACTTCACTCGTTTAACGCGGTCCGATCGACTTACTAGTCCTTTCTTGCGCGCTTGTAGATACTGAAAACCTTCACTACGCAGCTCTCGATAAAATGTTCTGTACGAAATGCCGGATAAATGGAGTCCACTGTAAGCGACCAAAGATTTAATTGAAAAGCCAGGATTGTTTTCGCGCAATTTAAATAATGATCTCAATAAGTGCCGTCTATCTCGAGGTGACAATTTTTTGGGCCTTCCTCGTCTTTCCGCTGATAATGGTTGGTTTTTGCTTTTACTTAAAATACGACGAACAGTTGATTTCGAAACACCCGCCTTTTCCGCAATTTTTCGTAACGAATACTTTCCCTTCGCGCCAAGATAAACCACATGTCCACGCATCTGATCCGTAATGTTGGTATGGTAGACCATTTTTATTGAAATAATCAATTGGTATTCACTCACTGTAGCCGCAAGCGCGCGAGGATGCAATTTATAGCCGCATTGCGCTTACGTCATGCAATAAGTCTTTATCACATATAATCAGTCACGTCATCAAGGTTGGGCTTAATGTAATTGTTCTTAAGTACCTGTGTGGCTTGTGTAATTCTTAGTCACTGTGAAGTAAACGTAACTCGAGCAATACTTCTCTGCAATGATGTTCCTGTTTTTATTATTAGAAAAGCGCAAACTTATGCAAATTACGTAACCTCGAAAAACAACCATTCTAAATATAGTAATGACGCCGTACAATATAGTAATGATGTACATATTACAAAACGGTTATACGCATTGATTACATCACGCCAAACGCCCAAACTACGGGCACTTGACTCTGTAATCGTAAAGTTAACTTCAGTTTTATAGAAGTGTAACTCACCGAGCATGATATAGACAATCTTTGCCAAAAACTATGAGACAAATAGTGAAAGTTCATATAACTTCTTCTGTCCATTTCCCCCCGCGCCCCCCGTTCAATGTTGATGTCACAAAAAATGGATACATCGCAAACGAGACGTCATCTGGCATCAACGCAACATTGAAAAGGGTGGGGGGAGGGAGGGATGAATATTCACGTGGAAAAGTTGTACAATGTCTATATAACGTTTTTGAAACTACATTGTCCCATAGTATATTGTCAAAGATTGTAGGTACACACGACCACAAATTTTAAATCATTAGAGACTGTGTGTAAATTGATTTAATGAACTATCTTAGTTGGAAATTGTTTGTCAAAGGAACCTACCAAACTGTACAATGATAAACAATATATCATGACATAATTGAATCATGTCTTCTATCTGTCCCCTTTTACCTGCCTTTCAGTATAGTATTAATATAGTATTTCTTTTAAGATGTTGTCAGTGTAGAAAGGCTGCACAGTAGTATTGATGAATATTTCCCTTGTGTTATTATATAAATGCACATCTTTGTCAAATATATCCATACACTTATCAATGGTAATCCTCAGGGTGCCATGCTGGCTATCCAAAACATAGTATTGGGACAATTAGCACTACAAACATATAATTTAATTAAATATATTTTCCAAACTATCCCACTTTTGTGAGCAAATTTCATAATTATAACTTATATACACCATGCAGTTACAGTTATATACAGTATAATTTATACCGTCCATCATTTTATCATTCTAAGATCAACATCTGGCAGGAGAATGACATATACAGCTTATATCAAATTATATTTGCACAGACAAAGCATATATACTCGACTATGGTAGGCGAGCAAGCCCAGGTAATCATCTTTGTTTGCAAAATATCCAGTGTACAGTAATTGCCCAATAACTCAGGCAATGCAAAGCAATTAGACTCTTGTCATGAGGCATGCCAGCTCATTTCCATATAAAATGAAAATGAAATGTAATAGGATATACCACTGGAACTTGCAACTTGAACCAATTACCTTTCATGTAAACTCCCCCTTAGTCTTCTAACCAATATTGCATCACTATTAGAAATCTCATTAATTAACCTGCAATATTATTATGCACCATAATTACATACAGAGCCTGATGCAAGTCTTGACCCACACCATAGTTTTATTTTTATCACCGGTATCCAATCAAAATGTGCCAGGAGAAATGTCAATTTCACATAATTTAACAACAAGCTGAATATAGTTGCAATCACTAAATCTATAATTATTTAATTATATATAGCATTAACCAAAATATAAAAAAATACATTAAATATGGCATGAATACTCATGCTAGAAATAGCCAATCAGAGTTACAACCATAAAGGAAGTTATCCATACACTCACCCCTGCTGGTATAAACAAGCAACAACTACAAGTATTTATAAATCAGTCGGCAGAAATAAAAGCATATATGCCTATATCAACATTTATCCTACTGGGTGAATTTGATATTTAATCATAGGTATTACAGCTTTCAATCTGTGTGAATTTGATAAATATTTACTGAATCTTCTATTTACATTTATCTTTACCTTTTCATCCAGTCTTTTGAGCTTCACAGCCCTTGCCCAAGCCTTTTTTGTTTTTGCCACAATTGCCTTGTTATCCAGTGGCATATTTCCAGAAACAAAAACCATAGGATTTTAAAATAATAACATAAGAACAAAATAATTGGAAAAAATTTAACAATCAGACCAACAATAAAGAATTTTTACCAAGGCAAAATTTGCCAACTTTCATTTGTGCGAGCACCTTGAAACCTTGAAACATTTATCCTCCTAATCCCCCTATTAACCCTGCTAGGTCTGGCATTACCCCCAAGAAACCAATTGTTCAAGGGCCAAGACAAATTGCACAATTTTGGAAGTCAAATTAGTCACCAGTCTTTTGGAATTTTTGCCACAGACTTAAAAAAAATTTGTCACACTTTTAATTGATGCTTTGGCATGCATTTTTTCAAGTGTGGATGGCATGTGGGTAACCTTAGTAAATGAAAGTACCCCCAAACAGCTTCACTCATTCTTATTTACTAGAAAATACATGCATGCAGAAACCCTCGCCTTGCTGACAAAACCATTTTATTTTCCGAACGTGAAGTATTTTAAGTAGTTGTCATGGTAACACGATAATTTTTTAAGAATATTTTTACAAATGAAAAATCCCCTATAAATATAACTTTTAATTACAAAATTATCAATTTCCTAAACATATATATGTTAGGTATGTTATTATACGTAATATAAGCTTGAATTTAAGGTAAAATTCAACCACAAACGCTTCGCAAAACGTTTTAAACTGTTCTTTTACTATAAAACTAAACTGCCTTTATCAATAAACATTGAGTTCGAAATAAAGATTCGAAATTCTCCCATGCAAATAACTTTGCTTATTATAATAAAAAGTGTAATCAATAAAGAAACACTGAAATAATACGCTGTCTTGTTTCATATTTATACACAACGATCGGCTTTTAAAGTAATTACAGTAGGTATGTTATTATACGTAATATAAGCTTCAATTTAAGGTAAAATTCAACCACAAACCCTTCGCAAAACGTTTGAAAGTGTTCTTTTAATATAGAACTAAACTGCCTTTATCGATAAACTTTGAGTTCGAAATAAAATGATTCCAAATTCTCCCATGTAAATAACTTTGCTTAGTATAATAAAAAGTGTAATCAATAAAGAAACACTGAATTAATACGCTGTCTTGTTTCATATTTTATATACGCAACGATCGGCTTTTAAAGTAATTACAGCCGAGATTACAGTATATTAAAAGCAAACAATGCATCAATATTTAAAACAAACTTACCTTCGTTAACGTCGGCACCATTACTTTCTTCTTTTAGCAATCCTCTTGCCTTTATTTCATGAAATATATTTGATATTATGAAATATATTTGATAAATGAAATATATTTGCAAGAGATCATCAAATCAATTTCGCTGTCGTCAATCGTCATGCAGCCGTTATAATGCCAATTTTAAATTGGACCAATAGTGTTGGCTATTCATTACAGTCCGCTATATTATGAGATCAGTGAGGATGACCACCCACCGAAACACGCACAGTGACCCACGCCCGCGATATTTGATGAACTTTAGACTTCGCTAATGCTTCCCTTCCCCGGGTGTAAATAGCCGGGGGGAATTAGTACCCTCGCACGGCGCTTCGCGCCGTCGGCTCGGGGATTATTATTTTTATTTAATCTTATTTTACAATGGTAGGCCCTTCAGTGAATTACCACTGATTTTCAAGGGGCTGTTGCTAAATTAATGCACAAGAAACATACATATATTACATACTATAGGTGAAATTCTAAAAAAGGTATAAAATGTTATAAAAGGTATTACTTTATTTACAAGCTTGTTCCTCCATGTTATTGAGACTGACCAACTGATATTGCTCTATCTTTTGTGCACTTCGGCAGATCATTCCAAAGAGCAGCACCTGAATAACTGAGGTTTTTTTCAAATACTTTGTATTCGGTTTTGGAAGTGCAAAATCTAATTCATTACTGCGAAGGTTATAGTTTTTATTGTTGCTAGTGTTAAACATGCTCGTCAGGCTTTCAGGAAACTCAGCATTTCTTATTTTATAGATAAATATTGCCCTTTTGTCTTTTCTTCGGTCTAGCAATGGTTGCCATCCTAAGTTTTTACAATCTCACTTGAACAAGTTTCATAGATTTTCCAGTTGTGACTCTTGCAGCCCTGTTCTGCAGTTTTTGTAATTTTTCTAGTAGATATTTACTGCAATTATCCCGGACAAGGCTACAATAGTCAAAATGTGGCATTATCAGTGCACTGTATACAGTCCTTAAAGTTTCATGGGGAACATAGGCTTTCACTCTCCTTCACATGCCAATTCCTCTAGAAACTTTGGTAGTTATTTTGTCAATTTGATTTCTCCATAGTAATTTTTTGTCGACGACAATACCTAATGTTTTTGCTTGTTTAACTCTTTTTATATCAATACCGTCAAGACTGATCTTCGGATCATCATCAATTTTTGCTAACCGCTGCCGAGAGCTAATTATCATATAAACTGTTTTTTCTTTGTTAGGAGTTAATTTGTTGGTTAACAGCCACATATGAATATTTTCTAAATTGGAAATTAACCGGTTTTGTATATCTTCTATTGGACTTCGCAGATGTTGTTAAATTTGTATCGTCAGCAAACATACTAGCTATTGAATGAGATAGCTAGGCAATAAAGTAAAAATAATAACGGCCCCAAAGTAGAGGCCTTGTGGTACACCACAGCAAATAACATGTTCCTGAGATATAGTACGACCAATTTTGCACATCTGACTTTGTGTATTTTCACTGCACCCATACAACTTTAGTTTTCTCATTAGAATATTGTGATTTACACAATCAAAAGCTTTTTGAAGGTCTAGGAAAATAACTCCATTTAAATATCCTTTGTCCATGTTAATAAACCACTTGCTAGTAGAATTTAAAAGCGATGTTTCTGTCGAGTTTTTCTTCCTAAAACCTGCCTGTTGTTGTGTGAGTATGTTTCTCGTTTCCAGAAATGTTGACAATTGATTTGATATAAGTTTTTCAAAAACTTTAGCTACAACTGAAAGTACTGAAATTGGCCTATAGTTATTGCATTCTAAATAGCTTTCTGATTTAAAGATTGGTGATAAAAACATCAGTCAACAGCAATTGGTTAAATATTTGAGTTAAGCTAGACGTTATCACACCAGCTGAGTCTTTTAAAAGTTTAGGTGATATTCGATCATGGCCCGTAGCTTTGGATTAGGATAATGCTTCGACCTCTGTTACATTTTGTAATTTGAATGTAGTCATTTTCAGGTTTAATATATGACTCGGGTGTACAGGTTTAATATATGACTCCTTGTACTTTCTGGTAGTTTTTGAGCAAGAGTTGTTCCAATTTCATTGAAAAAACTGTTAAATGTATTTACAATACATTGCCAGAAATTTGATACAACATGGCGCCTCAGGCCCAAAACGGCATAATTATAAGACGTATGCACACAGCCTGAACGCAAGAAATATATAAGATAAACACCACTCACCTCTCTATCCATCTCTGTTATTTTCTCGCAGATTGAGTATAGTGTTTTCCACAAGTCCCAGTTTATAGAATAGTGTTCAAACAATGTTAAGGAGGCAAAAGTAGAGCTGTTTTGAACATGCAAACCGGTTCCAAAAGTTCTTGAAAATGAATGCCAACAAACAGTATTATCTGCCATATTTATTCGCTTTTTGCGTGCTGCATGACAAGTTTAGGTCCTCATGATATCGTCACATTACAACTGTTTTTTTGTCCACAAGTCTCGTTCGTCACAACAGAAGATCAACTCGATTTCTATCCAAAAACTCTCAACTGTTCAGCAATTTAAACTGGTTCTAATTGCCTTTAAAGAAACACATTTTTCACCCTTGCACGAACTGTAACATTTAAATGATAATGGCCTTCCTCTACTGCAAAAAGTAAAAAAGGCTGCTTTTGAAGCCTTTGAAGGCTATCTTTTTAAAGCCTTCTTGTCCGCCATTTTGTTTGTTGTTATGCAATGTAACCTCCCCTTATTTAACAGAGCAAAATACTGCCTATCTTGGGCCCCAAAAGGCATCTTAAACCCAAAATCTAGCGCAAAAATATTGAAATTTTACGCACGGCAAGATGTCTGAAAGAAGACCTTTATTTTGTGTTGAAGTCCTCTATCCGGTTCTAAAGGTATGGCATAACTATAAACGTACAAACACAACTATCGATTACATCGACCTTCTCGAGGCAACTATTCCTGGTGGATGTTTTGTGTTCAGCCACGAGGAAAGTGTTTTGGAAAGAGGTTGACGACAACCTAGCTAGAATTGCAGGCTTCATGGCTCAGCTATATAGAAAATCAAAAGACGATATCGGCAAGATCTTGATGATAAAGTGAACAAATTTCAGGGACAAAACAAAGAAGTAGCTAAATTCAAGGCTGAAATTTCAAAAGTAAAAGATGAATTGGAATTTCAGTCAACCAAATTGCAAGAAGAGATTGACGATTGGCGTAAACACGAATACAAGTCGTTTCGCCCCCAAGTCGATTCGCCCCCAAGTCGATTCGCCCCAAGTCATTTCGCCCCAGTGGCTAAGTCGATTCGTCTCAACGTTTCGTTGCCAAACAACTTCAAATGATGGATTAATTAAAAATATAGTCAAGAATACACAGACATATAAATGTTGTCATTGTCACTGAGTAATTATTTGCAAGCTACCGTTACATGTGCGATTTTTTTCATGAATGTTTACATTTCAAACATTTTATATTGTTGGTTTCATTCCATACATATTTTGAAAGAATGCTATAATACCGGGATTGAGCCATTTTTCTATTTATAATTTGATATTCTTTCATTTTGAAAGAATATTGTTTCGTTTGCCCATTGTAAAAACTAATCACTGCGTTGATTACCGACTTTGTCAAACCTTTTTGCGCTTTTGTTTTCGTTTGAAATGTTACGTAGTGAATAGGTTTTTGCGTGTTTGCGTTTGATCCATATGTCCACAATACTCGCGTTTGTTTGTTTGTAAGAGATATTAAATTCACTAGCTAACTTGGGGGCGAAACGACTTGGGGCAAAACGACTTGGGGCAAAACGACTTGGGGGCGAAGCGACTGGGGGCGAAACGACTTGGGGGCGAAACGACCGGTTACCATGAAAACCTTGAACAGGAGAAAGAAAATCTGTTTAACACAATGGAAAGTACATTGAGAGAAAAAGATAGGGTCATTGGTCATTTAAACATACATCTAACAATGAACTGAAACAGTATATAGAAAATCTTGAGAAGCAATTCGATTACCCAAAGCAATACCAAGGGAAAACAGTTTCTGAAAGTAAAAACAAGAGCAGGACAATAAAAATTTCTTGTCTAGAGCTGAAGTTGCACTTTCATTGAGTGAAGCATTTCGAATTGAAATAGAAGCACTCCATGTAAATGAACCTGACACTGGAGCCAAACACTTGCTGTACTTTTCTGTGAATAATAGGGAGTCTGAAAGTGTGCCAGAACAAAAAAATTCAAGGTACAGCTCCCTTGACGAGAATGAAAAAAAAAACAAATTGAGGAAATTTTATTTTTACTAGATAAGTTCTGTGTTGGCGACAGTTTTTATCATGAGCTATCCATGTTACACCAAGGACTTCCAAGGTCATATTTAATCAAACAATGTGGAGATGACTTGAATGCAATGTGTCACATTGATAGACATCCTGGTAGTTCTCAAGGGGCTAAAGTCCACTCAATTAGAGAAGTTATTGTTGAACATGTGAAAGAATATCTTGCAAAGTTAGAAAATTTTGATTAATCAAACGATAAAATCCAAATACAAGTAAGCGGAGATGGTGCTAAGATGACACATAACTCAAAGTTTGTTTTGATTTCTTTCTCTATTCTTCAACTTGGAGAATCAGTCATGTCATCCAAAGGAAATAAAACAAGCCTAATGGGATCAGAAAAAAAGGTACTGCTACAGAAGCTCCCAGGCAAACTAGACCAATGCCTGCGTCCTGACACAGTATTATCAATAGTAAAACTTTGGTGCGATTTTTCTTCTTTATACACACGACTTAGGGATTGGAAGCCCGACATAAGCCCAGCTGATTTTTTAGAGAAAGCTAAAGAATGGGTAAACCAGTTCACATCACTTGCTGGACAAAGAGAAGGATATGAACATTCCCGCATTACTCCATACATGCACATTATGGTGGCCCATATCCCTTGGTTCTTACAAATGTGTAAAACTGTTAAGATGTTTACAGGCCAAGGGGTAGAAAAAAATAATGATGTTGCTAGGTCAATTGTTTTGAGAAAATCACAGCACTATGACTCTGTCGGTGATGTCCTGAAACATGAAGCTAGGCAATGGACCCATCGTGGTGCAGAACGAGACACAAGAAGATATGTCAAGTGCAATGCAAATTACTGGGAGATGATTATCTTTGAAAAACGATTTTGCAAGAGGCAAATGCCAGCTTTGAGCCTGAAGAGAGTTCTGAAATTCCTGACAATGCAGCTACAAACTTGGAACTCAATGCAAATTCTGACTTCAGAAAAATGACTGTACCACAAGTGAAAGAACACTTGAAGAAACAAAACATTAAAGGCTATAGCAAGAAAACAAAAGAAAAACTAATTATGCTGTTAAAAAACACATTTAATCACCATTAAATAAAACAGGAGTTACTTTATTAAAGGTATATAAAGTGCATATAGAACCCTTGCTTTGTTTACATTTTCTGGCAGGCGAAAATTTAAAAAATGTTCCAACGAAAGCTTTGTCATTCTCAGATGCATTGTTCATGCAAACAAAATAGAGAACATATTATTTTGCCTAATCAGAATTGTAAGACAAAATGTAAACAAGGCAAGGGGTCATGTTGGTGAAAAAAATTAATAGTTCTTAAATTAATAGTATCAAAAGTACATGTTAACTGTTGTAATGTAAATATTTACATCTTATATATATTTTATATTTATATGATTGATTTCAGTTAGAGATACTGCTATACCTTTTTGCCAAGCATTGAAATAGGCTTTTTTATAAATCTATTGACAGTTTTTCTAATGGCATTCTCAGCGATTTAACAAGACATTTTAACATTTAAATCAGGTGTTTGGGTATCAATTTCTCGTTTGTAATCTAAAATGACTGAAAATTGCAAACTTTGCAGGGCTATACTATCCGCATTTTACAACATTTCACAACGAAACTTTGGAATATTACTTATTTTGTGATGCTCTTTCAAGCTGTGATGAAATTTTTGTCTAAATCAAAATTTTAGTTATAAGGTACATTAAATGTCCATTCCTATAGGATTTGAAAATTCCTATAGGAATTCATATAAGATTTGAAAATGGTGAAAATCCTTTATATATATACATATAGGAAATAAAAATTCCTATAGGAATTCCTATAGGATTGGAAAATAAATAAAGTTCTTATACCCATGCATTTTACACTATTCCTATATCACATTTTATTCATAAATTTATTTTCTAACATTAAATGAATCATTACCGCAATGTGCGCAACCGACAGACTGGTGCCTAGTTTTCTTGCCATGCGCACAAAGCATCTTGGGATAGGACATCACACCTCCAATATTTTTTCAAGTTTTTATTTTTAAGTTTGTGAATGGTTTATGTTCAAAATAGAACTATTTTTGATGAGATTCAACTCGATTTTCACTAGTAATACATCAGCAATGCTTGTATAATGTTCAGGTGAGAATATGTTCATATTTTTTTATAATAAAGCAAATTATAAAGGAAATACCTAGTCCAATCTTCATTTTGTGAAATTTGAGCATGTGTTTCTATCGGTTTAAAATTTGAATTTGCAGCGACAATAATGGAATTAGAATGCTGATATAAATATATTTATAGCTCGCATTTATACTTCAATAAATGCTACTATAAGAGTTTTGTATTTGAATTAGACTTATCAATGTTTATTGGTTAACTCATTAAGGCGCAATGCGCCCTGAGATTGGCAAGTGGGTAAGGGACAATGCACCCACATGCGCCCTCAAATGACACCTCAACTTGCGGGCATGATATTTGAGCACATGTTTATCGGGTTGCTCAGCAACGGATACGAAAATAGAACATGAAATTCGAGCTTTTCAATGGTGTATCATGCAAGAAACTCGGTCAGAAACTCGCAAAGTTTTTCAAGTTTAAAACCTTAGTTTTTCAAAAATAATGGCAATACTGTTGCAAAGAAGGATTTCACAGCAAGTTTTAGAAGCAAAAAAGAAGAGGTTTTTGAATGATATACAACGAAATTTGGCATCAAAGGAAAGCAAATGTATTGGCGTTTTGGGCCAAGTTCTTCTGTGAACCATGTGCAAGATTTTCAGCCAAAAAGATGAGGATTTCTCAAACTTTATTAAAAATAGAAGTCAGAAATCACAAGATTAATGTTGGTTGAATCTAGTTTAAAGTTATCTTTTTAGACAAACTGTTTATGCAAATTTGGGCACAATTTCGACTGTTTTCGTGACCCCATTGTTGGTCTTCTTGTTCAAGTTGGTATTTTAGCTAAAGTATGTTTCAAACGACACCAGATTAAATTACTGTGTGTGTATGTGTCCTATTTGGCAAGAATACTTCGAGTACTAAATTACACTAAGTAAGTAGGATATTCCAAAATCACTGTTATATCTATTTTCATCAATTTAGTCTTAAAACGACAACTCGTTTCAGACATATTGTGGTTTAAAATAAATGTACTGAATTAGTGCACTTGCTTGCCACGTGCGAATTTTCAAAAAGTCTGCACTTCAGTCCTAAAGCTTTTAAAACGTTTTTTTCTATTGAGTTTTATATCCCCTATAAAACTTTAAATCGATAAAGCAGATAATAACGTTGATGCAACCTCATTTTCTAGTAACTACACGTTGAATCAGAAGGAAAAGTTATCAAAAATAGGTCGCGACGGTTGTTTGCTGTTGTTGTCGCTTCTCTCTGAAATGGCTTCCTTTGCGGGAAGCCATGAAACTGAAGTCCCAACAAAAACATAATTTAGCCGTCCTTTCGAGCCCATTGCTCGCTTATTTATCATGAAATCGTTTCACTAGAACATTTTTAATAATGTCTATGGGAAACTTTGTAATTTTCTGAACTAAAAGTTTATGGTTTTGAGGTGTTTATTTTATAAAATAGCACGCGCGACAAAATGGCACTAATGTGGTTTCTCATGTCTGACAAACAACCAAAGATGAAAGTCCTTATTTCACCCTTTTATAGCTATGTTGAATACCTGAATATTAGGTTATCTTTTTCATTTGAGCATACAGATAACATTTCTACACAATTAGTCCTAATGAAAGCTTATTTCAAACTAAAAAAAAGCGATTGTTTTTCAGAGCCAGACTTCGTGCCGTCGGCTTGGGGATTAAATTACACTAAATAAGTTAGGATATTCCAAAATCACTGTTATATCTATTTTCATCAATTTAGTCCTAAAATGACAACTCGTTTCAGGCATATTGTGGTTTAAAATAAGTGTATTGAATAAACATGCTTGCTTGCCGCATGCAAATTCTCAAAAAGTCCGCACTTGAGTTGTAATGCTTTCAAAATGCTTTTTTACTGGTTTTTATATCCCCTATAAAACTTTAAATCGATAAAGTAAATAATGTTGATGCAACATCATTTTCTAGTAACTACACATTGAATCAGAAGGAAAAGTTATCAAAATAGTTCATGACGGTTGTTTGCGAAATGTCGCTTCTCTCTGAAATGACTTCCTTTGCGGGAAGCCATGAAATTGAAGTCCTAACAAAAACTTTATAGCAGTTCTTTTGGGCCCATTGCTCACTTATTTATGAAATCGCTTCACTAGAATATTTTTAATAATGTCTATGGGAAACTTTATAAAAGTTTATGGTTTTGATGTGTTTATTTTATAAGATAGCAGGCATGAGAAAATGGCACTAATTGATTTCTCACGTCTGGCAAATAACTAAAGATGAAAGTCTTTATTATACCTGAATATTAGGTGATCTTTTTCATTTGAGCAATATAGATAACATTTCTTCACAATTAGTCCTTATGAAGGCTTATTTCAAAGTAAAAAAAGCGATTGTTTTTTAGAGTCAGACTTCAAAAGAGAATGCGTGCCTGACATTTTATAGCAGCCTACATTGGCTTGCAAAATAATTTTGGCTAAAAGCCGTTGCTTTTCCAACAGAAACATGAGAAAATTGAGCTAAAAGTCTTACCTGATGTATGTTTAAAATGTTTTTCTTTTTATGGTGTTTTTCAGTGCTTTGAGTAGAGAGGTTAATAGCTTTTGGTTTTGTCACCACAATTTGCCTTTGAAAATGTTGACTGTCATTGTTTGTGTTAAAACACCTCAGAAAATGCCTATTTTCTCATCCTTGGTTTATATTGAAAATAAATACAAGTAATTAAAAACTTGAAAGATGTACAAGCACTGTGTTTTGGGTTGCACGTTTTGTTGAATTTGAACACTTAGTTACTGTCAGTAAATTTCATGTTGTAAACATCTTGCCCAAAAAAAGCAAAGGAGTATATTTTATAATTTTTGATCATTTTCTAATTCATATCCCAATAGATGAAAATTGGTTATAATATAGAGATATACTAATTTAGTAAAATTTTTATATAAATTTATGGAGATATTGCCCCTTTAGGTGATGAATGACATGAAAAATAAAGTGTCAATGCTTTACAAATAAAATTTCTCATTGAAAAAACTAATGATATATATAGGTATGCAAGTTCATTTAAACTAAATTTGGTCAATCATATATCACTAATATTTGGTTGAAAAGACCAGATTTTTTCATGCAACTGTTTCTGAGATATTGCCATTTTGGTGAAAGCTCTTGAATTCAATCACATATTCGCCATATTGCTTGCGCGTTGGGAGGTAGAAATATTGTAACAGCTTTCGGCTTAATGAGTTAAACAAGTAAACAGTCATGGTTGCTTCAAAACAAAACAAACATGGCGCCATGCTACTTAAAGTAAAAGTTGACTTCGCAGGGAAAATATGGCTTTTATCTTTATTTTTAAATGGAAAAGCCTTTACCTTAAACAAGACTAACAAAACTTCTACTGTTGAGTGGAATTTTCAAGCTGTTAGCGTTGTATAATGTGATATAAGAAAGCCAGGAAAACTTTGCCAGTGGAATGTTTGCTATAAACACGTAAGTTAAAACTTCAATTGTCTTGAACGTTTTTATGTAAATTATTAACAAGTAATAGCATGGTTTCTCATGACATTTGGATAAACATGCACTTGTGAGTTTTTCAAAGTCTTCAAATAGCACTTGTCCTTTGGACTTGTGCTATTTTGAGGTCTTTGAAAAACTCACGAGTGCATGTTATATCCAAATTGCACTCGAAACCATGCTATTACCTATACTAATTACCCAACACATTTATTGCAAAATTGCAAATTCATTAACTGTATTTAAATTAATTAAATATATCACATTGAATCATTAATTTTCTGTACAATAAATTGTAAGCCAGTTTTAAGACCAATAAATTGTTTTACTAATTGTCATGTAAACAGTGCCATAGTAAACAAAATACATACAGATTCAATGCTTTCTGATGGGACATTTTGTAGCATATCACGCTTCTCTGTCACCCTTCCATAAGGCTGACATGCGTTAAAAATAGTGCTTACTTACTTCCTCCACAGAGCTTTCCTAGCTTTTTAACTATAAACAAGGTGAAGCTTCGATATCATAAGACATAAACAAGGGATAGAGGCGCTAGACTGTAATGAGCGAAACTGAGGAAACCTGCTGAAAATTAAAACGCGGGCGACACGAGACAAGAAAGGGGAGGGAGGAAGGGAAGGAAAGCTCTGCCAGATTTGTAGTCCAACATGGCATCAAACTGGGGGGTGCAACCAGCGATATATAATTCCTTAACAAATAAACATGGCGTACATCAATTTGAATAATTCATGTCCACGCAGAGATTTTCTTGTAGATTGGCGGAGTGGAAAAACTTGCTGTTCTATTTGTTGTAATCAAAACCATGCTACTTACTCTCGTAATGGGCTTCAACAACATTATAGAATGATGCACAAAAGCCTAGAATTCAACGACATTATGTTGAAGGATGGAGTTGGTGCATTGCATGAATTTGTTTGCATCTGAAACTTGGCAGAATCTGATGACTCTTTCTGAACAAAGAAGCAAATCGGTGGTTACAGTACTTTCTAAGATTTGTTTATTAATACTAAGACTATAATTACGGCAGATATTAAAAATAACAACTTGTCATTTACAGAGACTTGCAAGTTACGAAATTTACAAAGTTCAAGGAAATGGGGAGCATATGGATTTAGTTTGTTCGAGCGATAAAGAAGCAGCGAAATTGTTTGCGCTTTACCTGGACCATAAAGTTTCCTTGCCAAAGCTAGAGGAATCCGGTGAAGGCCTAGAAGTTAATATTTCTAATGCTGCAATGAGCTGTACATATGGATTGTGGCGAGCACAGGAAAAAGTTTATTCAGAAGCAATTTACTTCCAAACGGTGGGTCGGTTTTCTATTTATAATTTGATAGATATTTTTATTTAAACAGTGGGTTAGCTAAAATACGAATAATATAATAAGAGTTTAGTGTTACAGTAGTAAGCAATATTATTTGTGGGAAAATGTTATCGCAATGTTTTATATTATACTATATTAAATGAATTAACGTTATAGTATTATAGGAAATAGCATCGCTGTTTCCTTTTCTGTTTGTCACTATTCTAACAATATGAAAACCATATGGGCAAACATGTTACACAAATTATTGCTAATTGTTGGAACATATTACTCGCCTAAATGTTCACTGTTCAGTTCAGCAGTGACAATCACATTTATTTCATTATTTGGGAAATTGAAACATAATGCATGTTAAGGAAAGCACTGTAAATGTAAATGTAATGTATATTTTTTTTCTAAACTCCACTGTTGAAAAAGCAGCACTATTTTAACATAATTCATTTTTGTGTTCTAGAAAATGCCTGCCACTGCATTACCAACTCCTCTATTGCAACATGTCCAGGGAAGTACGAGGTCAATCAACTTACCTCTGAACCAAGACAACAGAGAATTATATCTTTTGAAAGAACACTATTTCAGGTTGGGCAGTTAGAGGCAATTCATTCGATACTGCAAGGTAAAGATACATTAGTTCTAATACCAACTGGAGGTGGTAAAAGTCTGATTTATACCATGGCTGCTGTTCTTAAGCAAGGACTTACTATCATCATTGAACCTTTAAAATTCATTATGGAGGAACAGGCTGAAAAGCTTAGACAAAAACAAGTCCCAGCCTTTTTTTTTATAACTCATCCCTTACAGACACAGAGATGGAGTTTGTGGTCAATGCTCTTTGTCGACAAGACCTACCATTTGCTATCCTCTTCACCAGCCCTGAAGGAAGTGGAATGATGCAGGCAATTTAAATTGTATTGCTGTCGATGAGGCACATTGTATTGATATATGGGGGCCAGCATTCAGGCCAGATTACCTTAAACTGGGTCTACTGAAGGATTTCGATGTTCCCATCATGGCTCTGACAGGTACATGTACAAACAGAGTCCAAAACAAGATAATTACTACATTACAGATGAGACAATACAAGTAACAAGTTCCAGCATAAATTTGCATTTACAAATACAACCAAAAACAGACAAGCCGAAGAAGCAAATTGCTGACTTCATCAACCTGCATTGTCAAGGTCAGTGTGGCATTGTTTATTGTGCACGGCGAAAAGACACTGTTGATCTTGCACATGAACTAAAGTCTGCAAATATCAATGCTGTTTTTGTTCATGGTGATCTGAATGATCTTGAAAGAAGAAAGCATGAGCGTGCCTGGACTATTGGTCTTGCCCAAGTGATATGTGCCACTAAATCATTTGGCATGGGTATTGACCGAAAAGATGTTCGATTTGTCCTTCACATGTGCTTTCCCGAAAGCATAGAGGATTACTACCAAGAAATTGGCCGTGCTGGTAAAGATGGACTACCTGCATTGTGCACACTGTTTTTCAAACATGAAGACCGATCATTCAATCTCCATAACATACTTAAAATTGAAGACAAAGACTATCAAGAACACAAATACAACATGATGAATAAAATGGTAAACTACTGTGACAGTGGTTCTTCATGTCACCATAGATGTATTTTATCATACTTTGAAGAAGTTTCACCAGAATGTGAAGAACATTGTGACATTTGCATTGGAGATATACAATCACAGAAAGACTATACTATAGTTTCTCAGCTAATCATCAAAGGTCTCCTAACTATTCTAGAAATGCAGAAGAAGGTGACTGTTTTTCTTTCACAGTTTTTGCTTGGGTCATCTGCATCTGAACTCAAAGCTTTGTCACTAGATGTAGCTCATGGATTTAGATCTGCAAAACCTTACTATCAGCAAAGAACTGGGAGGAAGCAACTGCAAAGGTTAATTTACCATCTCATTGTTAAAGGGATAATTAAAAAAGAAATAGCTGGTACTACCGAAAAGCCGACTATATTCTTAAACCAAGGAAATACTGAGAAATTAATGGATAATAAGGAAATAATCTTCTTTTAATTTTTGAATTAAATTTAACCCTATGGGACCGGTTGTTCAAAGCTGGGTTGACGCAAATCTGGGTCAAAATTTAACATGCTGTTTTAGTTTGAGTACATTTTCACATCTGTTTATTTCAAAACTTTGGAAAATAAACTTCTATTGATAGACATGAATTTTGGAAAACTATCTTCATTTTTCTAAACAGAGGTGTTGGTAAGATGGCTTTGAAATTTGCATTAATTAACCTAGGATTCTGTTAACCGGCTTTTGAACAACCGGCCCCTGAGTGGCAAATGTCCCCTGATACACCATACTTGAGGGAATCCCCCCCCCC